GCCCAGGTGGCCAGCCCATGGAACAGTGTGTGCAAGGTGCAGAACAAGATGACGACAACAAGATGGTACAATCAGACGAGTCACATCATTCGTTCGCACATACAACACACCATTCACCACCACATATTCTTCTTTGCACAAATTCAAATTCTTTCCACACTCAGCTTTGACAAATAAGGGTTTTAAAGTTTCATCTTCCCTTTGGAGTTGTACTATGTTCCCTGGGACCTTCCAGCCATTAACTTCAAGGCCCTCCACCGAGGCTTCAGAGGCTGGGGTACCCAGGTACTTTGCAAGCCGCTTTTGACGCCGTGACTTTTTAGGGCCTTTAGTCCCGCCCTGGAACAGACTACCATCCAAGTCTGGCAGTGGCTGCAGACCTGCCCTGGCCTGAGCTCTAGTAAGAGCAGGACATGACAAATTAACAGTGGCAGTGGCAAAAGAATGTTCAGAGTCCTTAATGGTGGGTTGCAAGAGTTCATATAACACTGGCAAGTCTCTTCCTAGAATCATATCCGCTGGTAAATTGTCCACTATGGCAACACTAAGCAAGTACATTTGTTCCTGTACCTCTACCATTATTTCAGCCCGGGGATACTGCTTTACATCCCCATGTACGCACTGAACAGAGGTAGTGTCCACATAATTGACATTATTTACAAAGCATGATTTCAACATTGACAGAGAACTTCCAGTGTCCAAGAGTGCCTTTAGGGCATGTCCATTAGCAGTCACATCATATACATTCTGACCCTCCCCCACAGAGTCAAAATCACATTCCCCTTCTCTAGGCACATAACAAAAGCCCATAAGCTTCGCTTTGCGAGGGGGACACACAGCTGCTTTGTGCCCCGGCTGCTGACAGTAAAAGCATACCAGCTCATTCCCCCCTTTTGACTTTTGTGCATTGTCTGACAGTTCAGCACGACCCCTCTCAGCCCCAAAGTGCGTCCGAACAGTACCTTTAGATGGTTGAGTGCGTAGACCTCCACGATGAGCGTTCTGGTATTGCTGAGCCAGTTTAGCCGCCGCCAGTCCTGAAGTTGGCTCATGCTCCCTTACCCAGGTGCGAGCAACATAAGGAAGTACCCGGAGTAGCTGCTCAAGGATAATGGCCTCGCCCAACTCCTCCTTGGAATGCTCACTCGGTCGTGCCCATCGCTGATACAGGTTCTTTAGGCGATGATAAGTCTCGGATGGCGACTCTCCAGCTGGAACAGTGGGTGTTCGGAACCTTTGCCGATAGGTTTCTGGTGAGATGTTGAATTTCTCCAGCAACGCCTCCTTCAGATCAGCGTACACCTCTGCCTGCTCCTCATCCATCGCCAGGTACGCCTCCAATGCTTGCCCGGTGAGTAATGGAACCAGATGATAGCTCCACTCCTCCTCAGGCCACCTCCAAGTCCTGGCCAGACGCTCGAACCGCCGAAGATAGTTCTCAATGTCTTCCCCCTGCTGGAAGATTGGCATCTTTAGTTCAGCTCGATGCATTGGCTCTCTCCGCACCGGAAAACTTGGGAAGTCTCTGTCGTGGGCTGTTCTGCTTTGTGTGGATACCCTCTGAGCAGATGGCGTTGGTAGCTCCATTCGCAAGCTCTCGCTGTCGGACAACGTCTCAGCAGGACGAGTCGACTGCCGGATAGACTCGTGAAGACCCCGGAGCTCCTGCATATATCTCTCTTCTCTCTGCTGCTGTGCATCAAGGAACTGACGCATTAGGGAAACCATTCCCTCACCAGTTGTAGCGACTGAAGCGATTGGCTCAGTCTGTGGTGACCTGGACTTTTTCGAGGTCTCAGGAAGCTCTGCCATCACTTCCTCTTCCTCTGTAGTCTCCGCCGAATTCCAAGCCTCATCCTCCATCGTCGCAAACTTCCTCTGTGACCGCAACCCAGCCCTGGGTTTTTTCCCTTTTGGCGCTGTCTTGCGAGTAGCCATCCCACCGCTGCCACCATATGTGATAAAGACGAGCCCACCAGCTCGCCTTCGGGGAGAAATGTGAGTCCGTGAACGGATGTAAAGGATGGCGCACTCGCAGAAACACTTCGTGCAAGGTGGAATTTATTTACAGGGCCAATAAGAAGACCGTCCACAGTGAAGTATATTTACAGGTGCCCACAAAAGAAAAGAAAATAAAAAAAACCTAAAAAGTATAACAACAGAAAAACAAAGACGAAAAACTCTTTTTTTTTAAAAACGTATCTACAGCACACAAAGGTTTTTCTTGCTTGAGGCACCACAGTTGCACTCTCGCTTCCGACTTGGTTAACAAGTCCTGACTTTAGGTTTGGCCTTGGCTTAAATAGGCCAAACCCCGCCCCTTTTTGGGCCACACCAATTCCCGGAACATATAACAGTTAATACATATACAAATACTTCATCTATTTGATTATCCATAATAATTAATTCCCAATATATATATATATATATAATAATAAACACATAAACCATTCACACATAATCCACTTAACACATAATTTTTCCATTCAAATACCCACAGGAACACCTATTCACACTAGACAATGGTTTCGTCAGCTTCCGGTTTCGATTCGCCGGCGCGACCCGGCCATGACGTCATAAATGGCCGCCACTCGATCGTTCGGTTCGGCCGGCTAAACTTTCCCGCCGGAGGACTGACTACGCCCACACAGACAAACAACACAGAGGCAAAACAACAAGACAGTGCAGTGTAAGTGTATGAAATGACCGGGAAATTAATATGGAAGGGAGAGTGGAGAAATGGAAGAATGTCCATGTGCTATCAGCATCGCGTGTGCACCCGCTCCGATGATAGCGGCAAAGGCAGGGAGCATCGACGTGAACGAGGTCAGTATGTATGTGCGTATATATGTGTGTATGTGTGTGTGCCAGTGCTGCTTCCCCAGCGGTGGCAGCTAATGTGACTTTATCACAGAAGTTAATACATTTTAGAAAAATGTCACCTGGTGTAAAACTCCCCTTGCTACCCTCATTTGCATTTGTATAGCTCACAGCTTTTTCATTTACATGTTAAAGCCTCCCCTAGAATTAGGAGGAGGGGGGTCATGGGGGGACAACTGCCAAGCAAGGCCCACGTCAATTTCCGACAATTCACGGCAGTTTTCAGTGTTGCCTGTAAATTGCCGTGTACTGTCGTAAACCTGAACTTCCACGACAATCTACAGTGACCCTTACTGATGAAAATCCCACTTTTCATGCAGTGCACAGTGGAAGTACCTATGATAAAAATTACAGACTTCTACATGCTGTGTAAGTGGGAAAACCTGCAAAATCGGCAGTGTATCAAATACTTGTTCTCCCCACTGTATCATCATATCGTCCAGCCCTAAAACTTGTATAGTTTTTGTCAGTGTTGGATGTAAATGTAAATGTAAAAACATCCAATTATGTAGAAAATACGATGGTAAATATTTACTTGATGAGTTACAATATATATAACATTACAATATATATGGTATGATTTTACCCCTTATTGAGCATATTGAGATAAAATGATGGAGTCCAGTTGTTTCTAATTGCAGCAATCCATTTGCTTCTCTGTTCTGTAGCTTTCGGCAATCTGTAAAAATCGCAAAGCTCTTTCCCGTTTTAGATGTTTTGTGTGTTTTTCGCGGCATTCACACTGAAAACCAGTCTTTTTGCCACTCAGTGGGCGTAACCGCAGTCACAACGACAGTGACGTCACACGCATACCCTCTATTAAGTCTGTGGAAGGTGTCATCATTAGGCTACTGTCTGTCTGCACACGAAACAGCACATCTGCATGCAGTGCGGCAGCAGTTGTACTGTACTGTCTCATCGGATCTATGGCCCGTGCGACCACCCAGACTTTGTGAGTGTCTGTCATTATACTGCCTGTGTTGCTAAGCCATCTTAGTCAGAGTCAAGCATGCATCATTGATCATTATTCCCGTGAAAATATTTTCTGTTTTGCTATTTACAATATATCATTAAATAGATATTATCATACGACAAGCAATTCTCTCTCTATCTCATTATAATTCTGTCGTTAAAACATTAAAACCATTCAAACTTAGCATTCCACAGGAAAAAGTTTTTAAAAGCAGTGCATCAACTACAAATATTTCTGTTTAAATTCATAAATATATTTAACTTCTGGATAATGATTTGATGTAATTTGAGGGATTAATTCCATTAATGAGAGTGACATATTTAATATAAATGTGTATATCAAATGTAAAACAGAGTTTAAAATCACTTTGTTTACTTCATTACTTCACTCGCACCAGTTAACAAATGTGTTTACGCATTGGTCTAGAGTGTGTGAATGGTGCACACTTCTTTATTTAGTTTATTTTTTGTAAAATTTTGTACATTTATACACCATTTTGTACATTTATACATCAGGCACCTGAACCCTACTGATCATATTTGGGTTAAATTTCAACAGCAAAATCAATTCCTGGTGCTCACTTATGCTCTTGTGTCTGAACATCCCAACAGCCATGTTCCAACTTATAATGAAAAACCTTCCCATAAAATTGAAAGCTATTATAGCAGCAAAGGGAGAACCAACTCCCTATTAATGCTCTTAGTTTTGAGATTGAATGTTCAGCAAGCACATAAAACTGTGGTGTGTGTGGTGTCTGTTCACATACACAAGCCCATATCCTTGAAAACCATAAACAAAACAAGGTAAACACGAGAGAAAATACTCTACATTAAATACAAGAAATGAGGATAAACAGTTTGCAGCTACTAAAACAACCAAACTAAAAAAAACTGTTAAGTCTACTGTCGCTGTCTATAATCGGTAGTCAAGAGGTTAACTTAAAGGTGCAGTATTGAGTGTTTTATGACACAATTCATAAAAGTGTTGAGACAAAATTATAATGCATTAATCCATGTTTTATAATTCTGAAAAACAGGTGAGTGTGTGATTGTATTATCTTTTATTGTAATGAACAGACGTGTTAGAAGAGCCCAGAGAGTCATATATTTGAGTGTGTATGTGTGAAACCTCCCCTACTCTCTTGAAGGTGCAGGTATGGTGGTGGACTGGGAGCAGGAGACTGGCCTCTTGATGACGTCAGGTGACGTTCGAGTCATACGGATCTGGGACACAGAAAGAGAAATGAAAGTGCAGGTACTACATACAAAGACACACACACCTTCATCTTAAACACATCGCTCCCAGGCGAACTTTGTAGCTCCATTTACAGTGGAAATAAAAAGTCTACATACCCTGTTAAAACAGCAGGTTTTTGTGATGTAAAAAAAATTAATTTTGCACCTTTAATCCTCTGGGGACGGCAAACGCGCCGGCGCGTTTTGCTGTTTTTTTTTTCACATAGCAGCAACATAGACTTAAAATACTCCGTCATTTATGGTCATATAAATAAAATCAATACATGATTATAAACTATAGAGGGTCTTCTTTTTTTTGTGTACACTCACATTAACATCAAAACCTTGTGTTTTTTTTAAATAAATAAAATAAACAGGGTGCGCTTTCAGCTCACTCTGTCTCCGCAAAAATCTTTCTGAAACATGTCTGGAAAATGAACGGAAAATCAGCTAATACTTATCAAACAAACATGAAACATACGTCTAAAGAATGCTTTAAATTTCTACTTTTAAATAAAACAATTCACATTTAAAACAAATATTCTCCTGCAGTGTAATCTGTATGAAACTAAAGAGAAGTACAGTTTCTCCTGTCTCAGCTCATTATCGTTAATTTGTTCACACCCACTCGCAGAGCGCGCTATTCATAAGATAATGTATTGAGGCCATATGCAAAATAGATAAACGCCCCCAGGCAAATGCTGTAAACTCTGTAAACACACTATATTTTTTAGTCAGATTAAGATTCGTCTTGCGCGGCTATGAGGAATAATCCTGGGACATTTACCACAGAAGTGCTGGTTTATTTTCACTTCGAGGAGGAGCAACAGATTCAGCTGAGAAGTGTAAGTGTTTTATGCATTTGCTTTGTTCTAATCGCGATATAGAATAACGTTAGTGTCTGTAAACGGAAAAATAGCATACTGTTTAAATGTGAATCATGTTTCTGTGTGTGTGTGTGTGTGTGTGTGTGTGTGTGTGTGTGTGTGTGTGTGTGTGTGTGTGTGTGTGTGTGTGTGAATGAATGAACGCACAGATACGCACTGTTACAGACAAAATAAAAGAACATTTCGTTGACTAGTTTTGGATAAAGTTTTTCAAATCAAATAAGCATAAAATAAGCTTCAAATAAGCTTCAAAATAAAGACATCAAATAAGCTTATGTTTTGTCAATAAACTAATCAACTAAGATGTTTGTTCCAATGCAAGCTATATCAAAATAATGAATCCTCAACTTTGAAATATGTATGATCAAACTAAGACATTTATGGCAAAAAGACAATTTTCTTTTCAAGATGTTTCCAACTCTAACTTTGAACTTTGAACTGAAATAAAACCATGTCTATATGGTGAAGGGTGTGTGATAGAAGTGTCCAGACGTATGCACCCTGTATTTTAAAGAAGAACATTTAATTATGTGCGATACATTATTCATTCACAAAGAATTCAGGGACATTATTCATGTCCCTAAAGGTTGGAGTTTTCCTCATTTTTAAAATTAAGGCATTAAGATTTTTTATTCCTCTTCTTATGATGGGTGTGTTCACTTATTCTAAGCAGTGTGTGTGTGGGTGTGTGTGTGTATATATATAATTAAAAAGCAATTTTAACCAGAAACCAGTCCTTTGTTGTGTATCTTTGGATTATGTTGTGTTGTAAATAAATCCAAACAATCTAAAAGCCATTCTTTTTTAAATCTCCTCATTCTTTGTGCAAGGCTCCTCATACTGATATGGCCTGATAGCACCTAATAGGGCCATTATGGGAGGGTCTTTGTCTTTCTCAGGTGTGAAATGCCATACATATTAATGAGAGATCACGCCTCCTCGCATAAAGCTTTCTCAAACAAAACACGTCATACACATTCTAAAAGACTTTATTGACTTGAATGAGTAGTCAGGATGATTCTCACATAGTTTTGGAGCAAATATTCTAGACTATGTGATACAATTTTCAAAAGTCTTGTGAAGAAATAATCAATATGTGTTTTGTGGCCTTATTTCAGAAACTTTTATTTTTAAGTTTTTCAATAACCATGCATAAATAATATTCTCTCAAAAATCCCCCTTGGTCCCCAGAGGGTTAATGTAAAAATGACAACATATCTAATGCCACTGTAAAACTGATAAACTGATAAAAATAAAAATAACCTAACTGCATAAATGTGCACACCCTTTTATAATTGGGTATATGGCTGTGTTGAGAATCAACTAATCATCAAGCTCACGTGAAATAGTACACACCTGTCTTCACTCTGATTCTCTCAGTGACTGTGATTAACTCCAGATACTTCTCCAATAACTTCCCAAATACTTCTTCGATTTTTCTGACATCATCTTGGTTGCATGCTACAACAAGAGCCATGGGCCACAAAAAGCTTACGAGGCATCAATGGTATTGTCCTTATTGTCGAAAGGTATCGCTCAGGTGAAGGCTACAAAAAAATTCCAAGGAATTAGATATACCATGGATCACAGTGAAGATAGTCATCATCAAGTGGAGAAATATGGCACAAAAGTGACGACATCGAGAAAAATTTTCCTCCAAAATTAATCACAAGACAAAGAGTAAACTATTCATGGAGGCTGTCAAGAGGCCTACAGCGACATTAAAGGAGTTGCAACTCTATCTAGCAAGTACTGGTGGCAAGACACAAGCCTTTTCTGACTTTGTGAAGATGGAGGGAATCATGAATAGCTCCAAGTACCAGTCGATTTTGGCACAGAACCTTCTGGTATCTGCAAGAAAGCTGAAAATAAAGAGAACTTTCAACCTTTCAGAATGACAATGATCCAAAGCACACATCTAAATCAACAAAAGAATGGCTTCAGCAAATAAAGATTTATGATTTGGAATGGCCCGTCCGGAGCTTAGACCTAAATCCTATAGTACCGTATATTTCCGAATATAAAACGACCCCCCGTTTTCAAGATGTACCTTTTGGAAAAAGGCTTTTTGAAGAGCAAATCTATTTGAAAAAACTTTATTTGAAAGTAATTTTCATATTGCATATTTGTCATGTTTAAATTTTTATTTTTGTTTTTAAAGTATACCAACATGTACCAACAACAGTCACATTCAGAAATAAACACTGCTGCATAGCTACCATGAAAAGTAACCTGAAGGTCTCATTTAGTAGATTTCACTATGACTGATTTCTCACCTTTTTTATGTACAGTGACAGATGCTGCCATGTCAAAAAACACAGGTGTTTGATCCGCATTATCTGATCCAGGGGATATGAATGTGTTTTCCTTAGGCCGATCTCATAGCGCTGAAAAGACAGCAGTTTCTCCCTGAAGTCGGAGGGCAAGCTCTAATCCATTACGTCACATCATTCTTAGCGGCCGCTTCGAGGATATTGACAGGCAAGTGCATCAGTATGTAGCCGAAATAAGAAATGATAGGCCTCTCTGGTGTGTATGCTTTTTGGCGATTTCTAGTGCCTTCAGCTGGATGAGGACTCTGGTTATGGGCATCCCCTCATTTATTTTTTCGGCTACGTACTGACAGACTTGCCTGTCAGTTTTTTAGAAGCACTGCTTTTAGGACCGTGGTAAGCTTTTCTTTGACTGTTAGTATTTTTAAGACTGTCTTTTCGGGCTCGTCATCTTCTAACATTAAACTGTCATGATTCTGCCATCATGTCTTTGATTTTCCCTGGTCTTGTGGCAGGATCATGACAGACCCATGTTTTGTGTGCAAGCACTTGGCTTTTTGTGGGCCATGTGCTTGTGTTGTCTTGTTACGTGACCCCGCCCCCTTGTTATCCTCGTCTCGTCATTATTGTCTAGTCACCTTCACCTGTCCTCGTCATTAGTGTTCCACTATTTAATCCCCTTGTGTTTGCTGTCCTGTGTCGGTTCATTGTTCAACCTGCTGTGGTGTTATGCTCTGTGAAGTCCTGCCTGTGATTGCTCTAGCTTCGTGTTGAGTCATTGATTAATGTTTCCTGTGAGTATCGTGTCTTAGTTACGTGTCCTGTGAAGATCCTGTTCGTTTGTTTGCCGTTAGTTAGTTATCCTCTGCCTTGTCTTGTTTTACCCCATCGTGGGCATTATTTTCCCCTTTTGTTGTCAATAAATCATGTGTTTAGTGTACTCTGTCTGCGCCTGGGTTCTCCTTATCCAACATCATAACATAAACACTGACACCGTATTTCTTGGCTGCTTAATGAGAATTGTTTGACTCCGCTGCGTTTATCAATCCTGGGGGAATCACTCGTTCTACATGTATTTGGTGCTCACTATTGTTGCGGGTGTATTGTTGACGTAAAAGTTTAGACCCTGAATATAAGACAACCCCATTTTTTCAGATGTATTTCCAAGAAAAAAAACATTGTCTTATATTCGGAACAATACGGTAAATCTGTGGGGTGACCTGAATATCTAGTTCAGTCATGAAACTCTAGAGGGCGCAGTTTAAATGCAATTTGCAAGCAATCACATCATTACTGCATGGCACAAGCTGATTAGCCTCTGCTAATCCTGCAGCCAATGAGATTGTTTGCTCAACATTTAAATAGTCTGGTTCAGTGTTTGCTGAAGCCTAGTCCTGCAGTGCGTTATCAGAGTTCCTCCATCTTCCCCAACTCCACCTGATTAGATCTACTACAGGATTTATGTATGTGTATTTATGCAGTAACAGCATATCTTACATGCTCACAGCAGCTTGTCTGTATATCTATTAGCAGTAGAAAGTGCATACTTGCTCTGTAGCAGCAGCGTAGCATGTCTAGTCTGCCAAGACCAAATGCATTAACATTGCCATATTCAATAACATTTTAAAAACTATTCCGAGAGTTTTCATAATTGAACATTTCCATTGACTGATATTACAGATTCTTGTATTATTGTTTTGGTGAGTATTCTTCTGTTTAATTATTTCACAATTTGTCTAAATAAGTGGGATCTCTAAAACTAGCATTTCACTGTGCGGTTAGAACTGCTTTTATGAGACGTCTTGCTGGACAGAAGTGAAGCGCAAGAGAAGACTGAAACTGATCATGCAGTTCAGTTCTCATGGATAGGCTTGGTCTCTCACACATTTGGTGCACTTTCCGGCGTAATTCAATAATAATTTTATGATGATATTATGATTTTGATTACTGAAGCTTGTCATGTATTCTGAGATGTACTGTATTGCAATTGGTGATTTCCAGCCCTAATTTAAGCCCTAAGGTTTTAGATTGTTGTCTCACATGGTATGAAAACTGCACACCTTCATTACGTAACTCATTCAGCTTTTGTGTCTCTATGTTGCAGGACATCCCAACGGGAGCAGACAGCTGTGTGACCAGTCTGTCATGTGATCCTCAGCGGTCACTTGTAGCTGCAGGTCTTGGAGACGGATCTGTTCGGGTGTACGACCGCAGAATGGGACCTAATGAATGGTGTGTCACGTTTTACAGAGCTCTAATTGTATTAATATGCAATTGTATTATTGAGCTTTGGGGATAATCAAATTACAGAATCCTTTAAAAAGAGTTATATTATTGAATATTCATCTCTGATGTGCTGCCACAACTAGTATAAATTCATAATGCCGATGTCTTGAAATAATTTCTAACTGGCTAGATCAGAAAATGAATCAGCAGTCGGGTGGCTACAGGCAAGTCCTGTCCAGCACCACTGGGCTCGTTTTGTCTTGCATTTGGTCTTGGTTGGATAAAAGTATCTGTAACAATAACTCACACCTTCATGCAGGCCGTAAATTTGGGTAGGGCACATTCTGGGTCTTAGCGCTAGTTTATGATAAACATTTTGTAAGTTTTATTGTTTGCTATATGAGACTAGCAGTAAACTAGATCAACATTAGAATAACATACTGATCATATTCTAACATTTCATCATGTTGAACTATATAACATTGATTTGTTTTATGTACATTTGTTCACCTGTCTAATAAAGTACATGCAAGAGCGTGTCAAGACCCTGTCGCTCTTGACCCTGTCAAGTTGTGACTCGTGAAGCTCAGTGTCAAGTCCAAGTTAGTCATGGACGTGGAGCTCTCGGCATCTCGAAAATGCCACGCTGATATTGATCCTCGTTTTAGTTCTCCTTTTGTCCCAAAGTCTGCTTGCCAAAGACCTCTAGTGTATATAGAGGTCTATGTTTGGATGAATATTTTGGCCCATACAGATGAGCCGCAGCTGCCTCCATGTGTTCTCACACTATCACCTGCAAATTCCATGAGAAAACAGTGTAATTAAGTCATAAAAAGCCATATGAATATTTAAATAATGCTAATTTAACAGCTCCCTCCAGTGCTAGCATTTCCAAACACTCAAGATTTCCCCTCTGCTAGTCACATCCGTCCGCTCTCTTCTGTGCATTATTATTTATTTTCTTTCATATACCTTTAAACACTCCACCTCTCTGTCCCACAGCTCAGGCTGACATTTCCTGTGTCACACTGTTTTTGAGTCCCTTTTCATTAATTTGCATGCAGCCTGGGAGCCACTATACCTTAAGAGCATAAATTGCTTAATGAAATTGAAGTAAATGTGCACCCTGACCTAGACATGCTAAAGTTCTGTCACAGAATGCAGAATCCATATGCGGACATCCTTGCCTCAACTAACAATGCTGGAGTGTTCATGGTCATGTTTTCAGTCTAGTTTAAGGGTGTTTCTTCTGGTTACTTTTAAAATGGTCTATTAGATTTGTTCACCCTTTTTTCAAATTCACACTTTAATTCTTAAAAATGTGAAAATATCACATCTATACCTAAACAATTTCGATATTTATTGTGTGAAACTGATTTATATAAATTTGTACACCCAAAAAACACTAATTTAATTGCGGCATAATATTACACAAAAAAAAAACTCAAAAAAAGAGTTGTATTTTTTGTTTGTTTTTTAAAAGCTAGTGTTCTTGGTTATCAAAGAGATAACATTGTCAGTAAAGAACATGATTAAAATAGGAGACGTGTAACGAAACAAATTAAGCTAAATATCACTTGTTAACAATACATTTATTATGAAATATTTCCAATCATGCTGTCATTTTGTCAAATGATGTAAAAAATATACATTGAAATTATCTCCATGATAGAATGTATTTAAACACAATATGATATTACATATTGTCGGTTATGATATTATGAGATGTGGTGTAAGTTGCGCTGTGATAGAAATGACTGGTTCAACTCTTGATACTTGTTCAATTCTCCAGTGATACTTGTAAATACACTGATGGGTGTTGTTAGTATTTTTCCCCCCTCCAGGATTCTTTGATGAATAGAAAGTTCAAAAGAAAAGCGTTTATTTGAAATAGATTTTTTTTTAAACGTTGTTTTTGTAAAATAATGTTAATGTATTTTCTGTCATTTCGATCAATTTAAAGGGATGGTCCACCGAAAAATGAAAATGCTGCCATCATTTACTCACTCTCATGTCGTTCCAAACCTGTATTTCTTTATTTCGAAACCTGACCGTTTTGGTTCCCAATGACTCACAATGCATGGACAAAAATGCATACATGTGTTCAGTAGAATAAAGAAATGCATACATGTTTGAATGATATGAGGCTGAGGAAATGACGGAATTTTCATTTTTCGGTGGACTATCCCTTTAATGCATCCATAAAAGAATAAAAAAAAACTTACTGACCCAAGACTAGTAATAGTGAATAGTAGTGTAAGTCCATAGTTCCAAAAATGCCCATAGTGTAAGAAACAGCCTTCTAAAGAACTAATGTGATTTCTTCACTATGCTACTAATCACTGTTTTTCTGTGTTCTGGTGCATTGTTATTCCTCCAGCTCCATCTAGTGTTCAATGTTCAATTATGCTTCCTAATTTTTAGGGAATGATTGGCTTATAATATCTTTTTTTCCAGTCGTGTGATGACGTATAGGGAACACGGTGCTTGGGTGGTGAAGGCACACTTGCAGAAGGAGCCCGAAGGACACATTATCAGTGTCAGGTAACTGCTTTTTTGTCCCACATAATTTAAATCACTTCATCATAGAACTTACTCTCTTTTTGTAGTGAGTTCACAATTTGGTTCCCCTCTCTTTTAGTGTGAATGGGGATGTGCGTTTTTTTGACCCACGGATGCCAGAATCAATCAACATCTTGCAGACAGTGAAAGGACTGACAGCTTTGGACATCCATCCACAGGCAAACCTGTTCGCTTGGTGAGAGATGCACATGCACCTTTATCCATCATCCATACAATCAGTTCGATTGTGAAAAAATATTGCTGTTTAGAAAAAAACTTGACTAAAGTTATTAATAATTCTGCTTGTAACATTACATTTGTAGTTCATTTTTAAAGTCAGTTTATTTAAAGTGCCCCTATTATGGTTTTTCAAATATACCCTTTCATGCAGTGTGTAATATAGTTGTTTGTGAATGTAAACATTCTGCAAAGTTAAGTCAAGTCGAAAGTGCGCGATAAATAAAGTTATTGTCTCCCAAAAGAAAGAATCGACTCTGAACCACCAATACGAGTTGTTTTTTATTTGAATCCTACGTCGGTTCTACGTCACTAGAAGATACGTTTGCATAACGCCCACCTGTTGTACGTCCGCGAACAACTTTACCAGCCCACAGCACGTCGTTTTACTGACGACTGCTTCTCAAATCTCTGAGTTCAACGCGGGATTCGCAAAGCGCTTGCTCAAGAAAGAATCACAACCTGTAAGTATGAATAATTATTGATGATATATTTTTTACCTGGTGTTCAAAATACTTTGTTTTGTGTTTTATATTGTGTAAGTTTTTTGCTAACCGGCTAAATCACGTTATTACTGTCTTATTTAAATACTTCTGCTAATCAGCTGTGGGCCACTATTACCTAAAACTGCGTCTATTAAATGTGCTCTAAGACATCTGTGAAAATGCTAACTTTAGCCTGATAGCACTAAAAGCGTACATCCCACCCTCCCCACAAATCGCCGTCCAAAGCCACGCCTCCTGAAAGCATGAACGCGCACAGCCACAGAAGAACGAAAACAACGTTACTGCAATACCAATATCATGTGTCATTCACCGGTAAGAGAACTTTTTATAGTACAGTTAGTAACAGTACTACAATACCAAACATAAACAAATTCTTTAAAACAGAATTAGATACCTGCAAGTTTTCGGTTTGTTTAGTTATCAAAACTTGTCAGTGAGTAATAATATTTCTTGCATGACAGGGTGTCCACGATGAGTGTCTGCTTGGCTCTGATGAAGATATAGATCGCAGATCCTTTGCCAGTGCCACTTGTTGTCGGTTCAGAAGGAATGTTAGGTTGTTGCTGTTTGCCTGCCATTCTCGCTCTGTCTGCACAGTGAACGTGAACGTGCTGAAGACTTATTATGTCTGCGTGAACAGCCTGCGCAGTGGTATGCAAACACACGTTGACTGACTGGGAACACATGCTACAGGACCGTTTGGGCCGAACGCAACGATTGAAAAAATTTTCTGCAGAGAATCACCTATTGCACCTTTAATGCGGATTGTCTGTCATTCTTACTACTTTGAGGATAAAGATTTGTTTTACAAGCGTTTATTAAATCAGTCATTCACGTTAGTGCTGGGCGAACATATGCACCGTTATTGATGCAGTTCCCGCATGTGCACCGCAATCAATTTTAAATATACACATCGGTTTGTTGATGGACATACACTTGTTAATGCTGATGGTGATGAATTACAGTTGAAACATCTCATAATGTACCTCAAACTGAGTAGTGTATCACTGAGAAACGTCTTGCTCGAGTCGTCCTTGCGATGGAGGTTCGGGTTGAATAACTAGTTCTTCCAATGTTCCGTCATCGGACTCGCGCTCAGATTGATATTGTAAAATCAACGTCATCGTTACTGTCATTACAGTTCAATCTATGAGCTGTAGGAAGCCTCCGGACAGAGATGACGTTCAGTTATGGTAATGGACGTGTAGCTTCCGACAGTCGCTGTATGCTGTAGACCAATAACAACAGATTGGGCCATCTGGCCAATCAGAGAAGAGTAGGCTCTCAGAAAGGAGGGATTAGAGAGACTGATTCATCCATCGAGTCGTTCCAGAATCATTGAAAAATGTGGTGATGTGCAATGTATTTTATGAGATAATGAAACAGTTTTTTGACTTTTGATGCATGTAAACCTGTTTTAGGAGACCTCCAAAACAAAATTAAGAGCCTTTAAAATAGCATAATAGGGGCACTTTAAAGAAACAGTACTCATTGCACTTAATTTCCCCCCCATTTTTTTCTAAATCAAGTTAGATGGCCTGAATAAAATGCAGAGGAATGTCATGTCCATGATATAATTCAGTCCTGAAATGCTTGTAACTCATTTAATCCCTTTTTTATCTAATTTTCTGACTTTCTCTCTCTAGTGGCTCTATGAATCAGTTTATAGCTGTGTATAACTCCAATGGGGATGTGATCAGCAACATTAAATACTATGATGGTTTCATGGGGCAGAGGATTGGAGCCATCAGCTGCCTGGCCTTCCACCCTTACTGGGTAAGACACATTTCTCAATAAAGACCTTGTCCCTTATTTCTATAAGCTGTTATTTCTATAAGCTGCAGTGTTGGGAAAGCTATTTTGAACTGTAAATTACACTTAAAAGGTAGTTAAACAAAAGTCAAGCTACTGTGGTATAAATTCCCCTACGCACCTGAAGCGTCTCCTAATCGACATCAGCTGAATTGGACGACGTCTCGCCCCTAATCAAAACTATAACTTGGGAATAAGGTCTCTAGTGCTCCACTAACCTGCTGCGCAGCAGTAACCAGACAGACTCCAGACAATGCCTTTGAATAAGCTTTAATCACAGCCATGAGGACCTCGTATAAATCACAGAGAATCCCACCAGCAAAAGGAATACATACATAGCAAAGGTAGCATGACTTTTTACTCATCACATAATTGTTCTCTAATACGATTGGTTCTACATATGTGCAAATTCAGCTACCTCTCCCTTCTTTGGCAAAACGAAATTTAGCTTTGTTGATTACTCAGCTCATTACAAGTCATGGGGTTATTATATTTAGATAGCAGTCTAATGTCCATATGCTTCCGTTATTTTAACACTCTAACTTTGGCTAAAATTTTGGTACATTTGGTTTTCAAAAGCATATAAATGTTAATCCTGCAAGAAAAAGAAATGTTAGTCATAATGAGTTAAACAATTCCTTAACACTATTAACAAAAGTAACTAACTATACTAAAGCTACCTGAGGGGGCAATATTTTTAAATGTATTATATAACTTGTTTTGTACTATGAGAGCAGTATAGTACTAAAACAAAAATTAGCATGACGGCATAAAACTTCACTAAATAAACAAACTGAATGAAACTTATTTGAAAACACCCAAATCTATAACTTGAAAACATAGTGATGAATAACAGCATGTAAATAAATCTGTTTCTACAAAAAATAAACTGCTGCTCAGGGATTCAAATGAATCTGTGAATCGTTTTTTGAACCACTTGAATTGTGAATGAAGGAGATCTGATTTTAGAAAAGCTAGTGCCATCACTACTGATACTGAGGAGCTTAAAGACAAGCCACAGTTGATCCACAGTTTTTATCTGTACATAATTTTTTTTATACTGACACTTAATTTAGATTTAAAGATGCACTGAGGTTTTTTTTCCCAATGTTTTACCTCTCAAGAAATATATAGTACTTTTGACCAGTGTTCAAAATATAGTTATTGCTCAAGATAAAAAAGCTGTTTTATTCTACAGAAGGGCTCCTCTTCCTCATAGTGACAACCATGTTGAAATCACATGACCAACTAAATATGTTTTTATTGCTACATTTTGAACAATGAGCACATAATTAAAGGCAATTATGAAATATATCAATCATAGCAAATCAAATAATGAGATAAACTTAAGAATATTAATAGAGGAGAATAAAAAGTAAGAAAGAAAATATACAAATAAATATAACAGCATCTTGATAAGCAAATAGCACACATGCTGTAGATTATAAATCAGTCGGTCAAATAATACATTTAAGGCTTTATGGAAGATATGGAAGACCACCCAAATACTAATTTTAAATCAGTAATGCCTCCCATTATTATTTATATACAATGGAATCAATGCAAGCAGTATTTACTTTTCCATTTATCCTCATGATATATTGACAGATGTCAATATAAAGTAAGACCACTGTAGTATTGGCCAACAAAACACAAATAATTTCTATGGTAACACTGTAATAGAAAATAAAAACTTTACATATATAATCCTCTTCCTTTTCTTTGACCTCCTCAGCCTCATCTGGCCGTGGGCAGTAATGACTACTACATGTCCATCTACTCTGCAGAGAAGAGACTCAGATAACATCATGACCTCTCACCTTTGACCCTTGCTGCCCCAACCCCCCCAAGGGATGTAAATTACTTCCTGTACATATGCAACAACCATGATGAATGTCTAAAGAAGGCTGCTGAACCCACACATGATGACTATATTAGTATCATTATTATTATTATCAAGATAATTATCATTATGGATTTATTGATTGTACACTTGGCTGTGCAGAGGAGTGTATATTATTAAAATTGCATATAAAGATCTTAAAACTTTATGGTTCGGCCGATGCTGGCCGGGTTTGACTGTCTTGGAACTGTTAACCTCATGCAAAGCCCTAGAGTCTGATAGATCGACCTAAAGACAAGAGACTATGAAGATGACAAACTTCCAGAAGCTGGGTGTTCCAGGCTGACTGTTGAAGGCCTGTTGCTCAGTGGGTTCTCTCTGAAACCACATGCCTCATCATATCTCTGCTGAAGTATAGTTGGATCTGCTCTTCTTCTTGTGCGAAGAAATAGCAAACCGATGCAGCGCTCCTGCTCGCCAGTCACAACCTTCCCTGCACATCCCTGCTTAACATGTTCACACACGGTACCAAACCCCCTTCAAATCAAAACTCTTTTTTGGACTGTATGTACACAGATGCTGCATTACACCTCAACAACACACATGACTGATCTTAAAGCACTGGACACGGACAATAGGGACGACCCTTCATTTGCATCCACACTAAGCAAAGGTTCTTAACCTCAAATAAGCTCAAATAATCAGGATTTAGATTTGTAGACAGAAATGTAAAGATAAGAAGAGAGAGTAAGTTTTTGGTACCTGGGCATTATAATAACATCAAGCTTGCATTCAAGAGTCATATGTAACAGTTTTGTTCTCTCTGTACACACACAGCCCCCTATTTGATTATGCCAGAGCCTTAGTTTTAATTTGCTTGTCCTTCATGCTGGAAATGCCACACTACCTACTTTTGCAGCGCCAAACCTTTTGTTCTCTTGGTCATCATCGCCTTCATTATTTACCCCTCCCATCTTCTGAGCACACTGCTCTTTCCAGAGGTTCTTCTGGAAACTCATTTGGTCATAAAAATCAAATATGATCTCCATTGTTATTTTTCCTCAATGAAAATTGAGTGCAGTTGACAGAACAGAAAACGGACTATTTCATATTTTTAGCCTATCATGATGTTGCAGTTTGTTTGATCTGATCTGTTTCCACTTTCACTTTCCCTGTCACTCCATGAATGTCTAATCTCTTAGTTAAACATAGAGCAGTGGTTTTCAATCCTGGTGCTGAGTACTCAATGCTCTGCACATTTTATGTCTCCCTTATATATCACACTTGATTCAGATCATCAGCTCATTAGGTGCGAGATCTATGAACTGAATATAAGATAAGAGAGACATACAAAATGTGCAGAGCGGTGGGTCCCCAGGACCAAGACTGAAAACCACTGGCATAGCGGCACAGCATTATGTGGAATCAAATACAAGTATCATGTCTTTCTCATAGTAGCACTTATATGTACTCATAAAGTCTGTCCTTTGTCCTGTGCTGCTGATAGCTTTAGTCCCACAACCTTTATCAGTTTGCACAAGAATGAAAATGAAAGTGTTTGCTAAAAGCCTATAGGGGTAGTTCACCCAAATACGAAAATGTTATCATTTACTCACCCGCATGTCGTCCGCATGACCTTTCTTTTGTGGGACACAAAGAACACTGTGGGACACTGTTGATCAAAGTGTCCAAACTGCTTTTCTTTTCTCATTCAATGAAAGTGGATGGGGACCAGTCATTTTTAAATTAAAAAGTCACACAGGTTTGTCTAAATGTTTGGGTAAATTATTCTGTATACAATTTTTTTGGGTGAACTATCCCTAAAGTACAGCAGAAAAATCAGGTGGGACTTTTTTAATATTAAGTGTGTTTGACATTTTTAGAGTAGGCCTACATAATGTGAATAAAAGCTTTAAACAGTGCTAAAGTAAGATTTGTAAGAAACTGAGTTGCTGATACATTTAGCCAATCAATAAAACTAGAAGGGTTGAAGATCAGGGTGGAAATTTATTTTTGTAAAAGCTCTGATCAAAGTGTTTTGTTTTTTTCCCTTTCACATTCTAGTAAAAATTTCTGTGAGCATATCTGAACTTTTATTGTGAGGTGACTGATGGAAACAGACCTGGCTCAAATACTGAGAAATACTTGCATAGCTCTTACACATTTTCCTTTGGGGCAATCATGTCACTATCAAATTACACTTCTTTATAGAAATTGAATTCATGTCTTCAAATCAAATTATAGATAAATGAAAGAAAACATTTATTCTAGTACATTTTGAAGTTTGGCTCCTTGATTAGTTGAATTAACACTAGTCCTGAATCTGTTGTTCTGTCTAGTGAGATGGTGAAGGTAAAACATCCTTGTGTGTAATGTCCATCAACTCTAGCACCCTGATGTCACTGAGGATGCAAAATGATGACTGACAGATATGTTTAATTCTTACCTTCCCAAAATCCAGTTCTTGGAATGTGTTTGAATTGATGTTATTAATTTTAACCGGTTTATGTAATTTCTGTATTTAAATTTTTAACCAGATAAGGTTTTATTTTTTTTTATCTTTTAATCTCCTCTACTTTTTCAGGTTTTTTTTTTTTTTTTTTTTTTTTACTTGTATTTCATGGTATGGCTGCCATTCTCTTGCTGTGTTCGCATTAATCCCTGAAGGGAAAGAGAAAGCACATTTGTCCTTCACCTTTCCCCAGGACCCTTTTAGTCTCTTGTTGGATTCTCTGCCCCTTTTGGACATTTGTTTTCATTGAAAGGATAATTTGGTTTTGCACTTTAATCAGTGGATTTGTTTATGAATTGTGCCGGTATATTCCCATCAGATTATACCTTTTTTTCTGCTCACTGTGGGGAATTGGGGATGTACTCTGGCTTCATCAAACTGGAAATTACTGCTCTACTAATCCTGCTTTGGGTTTTAAAAATGTTAAAGTAAAAGAATTGAAATAAATTGAAACAATCATGGGTTTTCCATGGCTGTAGACTGCTTTTTCACCATGGTTTAAAAGACGAGAAGAAAGCATTCGAATAAAGCAGTTACATAAATGTACAGTTTGATTGATTTGTCTCTTTGCTTTGCTTGTTTCTGTCATACTTTTATCCAGTTCCTCTTAATGTTGGCAGTTTTTATTTGTGTTAGTTGACAAATGTCCATAAACATTTTTTTTTTTTTTCAAAATCAAGATTTTAGGTTACATGAGGCACATTTTGATATCTTGCCATTTAACAGGTCAACCTGTTTTCTTTCTCTTTTTTTTACATTTTACCTTTTCACAAGATTGCTTTTCAAGTCTAATTTTTTGAGACAGGAATTTTGGGTTTTCATGAGCTGTATGCCAAAATCATCAGTATTAAAACAATAAAAGACCTGAAATATTTCAGTTGGTGTGCAATGAATCTAAAATATATGAAAGTTTAATTTTTATCATTACATTATGGAAAATAATGAACTTTATGACAATATGCTAATTTTTTGAGAAGGACCTGTATTATTGTATAACAAAATATACTATATTTAAATACTAGTAAAAAAAATATTGCATTCTTGCGAAACATTTGTTTACTAGAACAAAAGCAATTGTCATTCTTATGATGCAGATTTTATATCTTATAAATGTGCTTTGTGTCCACAAAAGTATACTGTTTGTTCTGATCATTACAGGAAGACTGAAAGCCAGACATGGTTTCATAGTTAAAACAGGAGTAATCATCTAGCAGTTTTGTTTTTGTTTTTTATAATTTCACTGTTTTCGCCTCTCTGGGAGGCTCTGCTGGTTCACGATTGGATGTGGAAGTCTCTGTGTTTACCTGAAGAGTACTGACACAGGTTCACTTCCACCTCTTGTCCATTGCACCAGCCTCCTGCCTCGTCAGAGAGATGCAAATCTAGCCAGAGTGAACATTCCAGCTCCTGGGGCGAGTTGCATAAACTGCTAAGACTAGTCTTACAAGTTAGTCATCCAATTTTTTTCTTCAAGACTGTTCATCACTTTTTTAAGTTAGTTACATAAAAACGTACATTGGTCTAATTTGATACCGAACAGTAATACTAATTACCCCTAACTAACTGCTAGTTGTTCAAGCTAGTTCTTAAGACACTGTCTTAACATAATGGCTATGTTTATGCAACTGGCCCCTGGCCTCACTTCCTCAGGAAGCAACACTCACTTCCTGTGAAATTAAGAGCACAGAGGCTGTATGAAGTCATAACCAGGCAGAAGTGAAACACTACATACACAGCTCCTCCTTTCAGTCCCAATTCACTTTGTCCCATAACACACATACACACACACTGGTTAGAAGTGCTCAGCCATGCAGGTGAAGATCCAGCCCTCTCTAAGGATGGGCACCATTCTCCTCCTCTTTCTCTTCACCTGTAAGGACACCTTTTATCTCTAGTCTCTCAATTCTGATTTAAATGGATACTGAAGGTGCTTGGATATGAATTTGTCTTGATTTTTGTCTTGATTTGTTTTTTTTTTTAAATCACCCTCTTCAATGACATCTGAAATCAGCAGAGGAAGCCTGTGCAGGTCTGTAAGCTGCTCATTTCTCTGCCTTGTTATTCATTTTCAGAATGTTATAATCATTATTTAACTGTGGAAAGTAGTTGTTTTCGGTTTGTTAAATTTAATTGTAATAAGGATTTTGAATATGTTGACCACATTTATTAATACCAATAAAATCCTTATTATTTGGATTAAGGATTTTTGTTATGCTTTGTGGTACTGTGCTACTCAGTGCGGTTTGTTTTTGAAAACATGTCCATGTGTATTGTCACATGCATTGGTTATACGAATTAGCGGGAAGTGAGGCATGAGAACTTAGGTCGTGTGATTTGACGCATCGTTCTCTTTCGGCATGATGCTCTTACAGCCAAATATAAGCTTGAATCCAAATCACATAATGTCACTATAGTTGATGGAGCTATATATATTGTAGAAGTTTTAGCTCCTTTTAACTATGCTTTGCCAGCTTATGTGGAAATACTATGTTCGTTTATTTAGTCCTGCAGTGCAATACAAATGTGAAAAATGAAAAAATAAAAAAACACTTTTAAAAACTATTAAAGTAGTAAAGAACAAAAAGAAATGGTGACCAAATTAATCACTCGCATCTAAATACATATTCTTTCCCTTATAAAGAATATCAAATTTAAAACTAAAATAGATGTTGAATGTCCATTTGTGAAGTAGCCAAATATCTAATGTCTCTCTATTATTGAGGACATCAATATAATTATTATACATACAGGTTTGATGGTATTATTATAAAGGGTGTGATCATAATAAAAAGTTTATTAATATCCATAAACAAAATTATTCAACCCCCCAAATTTGTAGAGAATTATTTACTCTTTATAACCTCAAATACACATTGCCTGTAAGCGCTTAAAAGCTTTTGACACCTCTCTACTGGAATCTTAGGCCATTCTTTGTGTGCAAAAGCTTCCAGCTCACTGATATTCTTTGGTTTTCGTGCTGCCACTGCTTTCTTCAAATCTCACAGGTCCCTAAAGCAAGCTTTGGTAGATTTGGATGTATACTTGGTATCCTTGTCCTGGAAAGTCTAATGATCCAGTGAAGCTTCTGTTTATGAATTAAAGCTCCAGTCGGCAAGTCTGGCAGATTGACTGGATTTAGGAAAATTTTGAATGTTTACAACTCTCATGCCCCTCCCCCACTATCAACGGATACCCTCCCACCCAGTTCATGCTCGTCAGTGCGTGTGCACCAGATTTTCAGTGAACGCCAGGGCTCTCAAGTGTCACGCATTGAGCGTGACAGTCACTCATTTCGGTCTTTTGTCACGCTCTCCCGCCACACATTGTATTTCTCACGCTGAAAAACTATTTGTAATATATTTAATATGCCGCAGCGCCCAAAACTCTGGCCGTGCCGCTCTCACTGTGGAACCGGCATGAATCAAGCGCGTTTCCTCTGGTGTTGTTCGTCGAGCTACACAATAGCCAATCAGAAAATAGCACTATTGTATCTGGGTAAGATTTAACGCAACAACCAATGACAAAAATGTATCCAACCCCCCGTCGGCTGGGTGTCACTCTTACCTGTCTTCAAAACTTGAGAGCCCTGGAACGCGCCCGTCTCATCAGCATCCATCAACACCATGGAGTATTTGGAGGTATGCTGTCCTGGCTAATCTACCGATAGATTGCAATTGCTAACGTCATTTATACTCTAAATGAGCTTACTTGATTTTCCGCCATCACTCTTCGTTACTGCGTGAACTTCCGCGAACTTCAGGCGTGTGCATGTGATTGTAACGTGCGCGAGGGGTGGCGTGTGCCCAATCTGTGATTGACAGTCAGATCTCACACCCCCCTGCGCTGATTGGACATGATGAACCGGGAGCTGTGGATTTTTGCAAAACAAATAACAAGCTCCAGGTGGAGTTAGAAGCTCTGGTTTTTTTTCTAAAACCACTTTATTTATGTTGTTCTGTCAGATTATAGTGTCGATTTCACTTAATATGATCAAAAAAATGTTGCCGACGGCAGCTTTAAAGGCATCATAATCTTTGCCAAAATGGCTTGATACTTAAAAAAAGAATCCATAACGCCGGTCATGTCCAGATTTTAACTTCCTGCAGTAGCAAAGCATCCCCATAACAAGACTGACATGTTTGACCCTGCGGATGGTGTTCTTTTAGTCATAAGCCATGCCTTTTTTTTGTACCAGACATACTGCTGATCCAAAAAATTCCACTTTGGTCTCATCACTCCAAACAATTTTCCAAGAACTACACAGTCCAGGCATGAAGTCAATGTTTGTTTAGGTCTGCACTGAAATTTTTTCCTCCATTCAACAGGTCATCTTGCAAGTCTTTGGTAGGAAATTGAGTTTTTTTTTTCTCAGCTGCTCTGATCTTGATGCCTTTGATTTTATTCCCCTTGATTAAATTGAGCTTTTTCTTCCATGTGCTGGAAGGTTTGCTGTGGTAATGGTACCATGCGTTTTAAAACGATGCTCTGTCTCTAGGAACTTTTAATGTCTTGGAAATGTTCTTAGCCATAGCCTATTGGAAGTAATCAAAACAACTTCTCATAGCTTTTGTGAGAGCTCTTTTGTCTTGGCCATATCTGCTACTGAATTTCAGCATATGCATGAGCTAAATTTATGCATGCATCACAACTAAAGTTAATTAAGTGTCGTTATAGAGTTACCAAAAGCTTGATATTGTTTTAACACAATTTTTTACCTTACCATACTAGTAAGGGATTTAAAAACAGCAATATTGGAAAAGGGTTTGAATAAATATGACACAGCTGTATGAAAAACAAAATCCTAAAACACAAAAATATTAAATTTTATATTGATATAACTTTTAATATGCCACTAAAGTGTTATAATACTTTTTTATTAACTGGATCTTTAGAAAGCATTGCATTGTAACAGTCTTGTAATTGCATTGTAATAAGATTAAAATAAAATGGGTGTGGACAGATGTTTCTAAAATAGTTCTAATCCCCAGAGATGGATCTCTCGAAATATGTTTAACTATTTTCCTTCCTGCCCTAATGTTGAGACCCCCTGGGCACCGCTATCAAAAGGGAGATAGATAATAAGACTGTTCTGTCCTCCTCCATATTAGCTTCCCTCATAAGGGTATCAAGCACTGTGCTGAATGAACCACAAATATATGGAGGGATTATTGGGACAGATTGAAAACTAAAAGTCTAAAACTAAAAGTCTTAAACGAAAACCAAAAGTCTAAGTTTGAAACTAAAAGTCTAAGTCGAAAACTAAAAGTCTAAGTCAAAAATGAATTTGGTATTTAGGATTGGGCATTTGGTATTTAGGATTGGGCATTTGGTATTTAGGATAGGGCATTTCGTATTTAGGATTGGGCATTTGGGCATTTGGTCATTTAGCCATTTAGGATTTAGGATTGGGCATTTAGGGATTTAGGATTGGGCATTTAGGGATTTAGGATTGGGCATTTAATCATTTAGCCATTTAGGATTGGGCATTTGAGGATTGAGGATTGAGGAGTGTATGCAAATAAGGAGGCGTGGCCCAAATACTGGAGGCTGGGTTTGAAATGGCTGGTGCAGATGCACCTTATGGACAGCAGAGGGCGCTCCAGTCAGTCCAGTGCTAAGGAGCACACTGTAATGAAACCAAACAGAGCGAGTGAGCAGGTCTGGAGCGAGGACTGTACTTTATAATGTGATAACTTCAACTTAATGACAGCGTTGTATAGGGGTACTGGAACGGTACATGTATTCCTATTGAACCGAACCGGTAGCCTACGGGCGTCACGGTTCGGTGCACGAATTTACACGGAGAATACACGGTATAAAAATAAATAAAACTCTAAATAGCGATACATTTCGCTCTATTCGCGTTTGGTGTGAACGCAGCATAATAAACAGGCTGCGATATCAAGATTGCAATGCTGGAGTGTGTGTGTGCGCGCGAGAGAGAGAGGGGGAGGCGTGGGCGCGAAAGAACTAGGTGTGTGTGTGTGTGTGAGAGAGAGAGAGAGAGAGTGTGTGTGTGTGTGTGTGTGATTTTGGTTGGGTGACAGTTGTAGGTTACAGTTTGACAAGATTTTAGAGTGTGACAAAAGCACAATGTTGTATTTTATTGCGAGTGTACACAAATATACACACTTTGCAGTTTGAACTTTGCAGCACACACTCCAACATTGCAATCTTGATATCGCAGCCTGTTTATTATGCTGCGTTCACACCAAACGCGAATAGAGCGAAATGTATCGCTATTTAGAGTTTTATTTATTTTTATACCGTGTATTCTCCGTGTAAATTCGTGCACCGAACTGTGACGCCCGTAGGCTACCGGTTCGGTTCAATAGGAATACATGTACCGTTCCAGTACCCCTATACAACGCTGTCATTAAGTTGAAGTTATCACATTATAAAGTACAGTCCTCGCTCCAGACCTGCTCACTCGCTCTGTTTGGTTTCATTACAGTGTGCTCCTTAGCACTGGACTGACTGGAGCGCCCTCTGCTGTCCATAAGGTGCATCTGCACCAGCCATTTCAAACCCAGCCTCCAGTATTTGGGCCACGCCTCCTTATTTGCATACACTCCTCAATCCTCAAATGCCCAATCCTAAATGGCTAAATGATTAAATGCCCAATCCTAAATGGCTAAATGGCTAAATGACCAAATGCCCAATCCTAAATACGAAATGCCCTATCCTAAATACCAAATGCCCAATCCTAAATACCAAATGCCCAATCCTAAATACCAAATGCCCAATCCTAAATACCAAATTCATTTTTGACTTAGACTTTTAGTTTTCGACTTAGACTTTTAGTTTCAAACTTAGACTTTTGGTTTTCGTTTAAGACTTTTAGTTTTAGACTTTTAGTTTTCAATCTGTCCCAATAATCCCTCCATACAAATATGCTACAAACAATAGACTCATGAGATGAGTCCAAAATGTCTTTTTTGTTTTTCCTCCTCAGAGATCTTCATAAAAAGCGTGAAACTTTTTATTCAGCCCAGGAATGAAGTTCAAAGAAGTACAAATGTGTCACTGAAATGCCAGGCAGAAGCTAGCCACACCGCAGGGTCTCACCTCAACTATAAATACATATTCTACAAAAATTATCACATAATTACTGACCAGACCAATGCTACGGACTCCCTCTACTATATACCAGATGCCAGAGTGAGCCACTCTGGGAGATACAAATGTGCAGTTGTCATTGAGGAGATAAAGAAGGAGAGCAGTGCCAAAGACCTGACAGTGAAAGGTAGAGTAACACATCAGTTCAATGTCTAGAAGTTTCTTGTTCTTGAATCCTAATATCAGCTGATGTGTCTGCAGGTCTTCTGGCACCAGTCCTAACAGTGGATAAACTGAGGTTGACAGAAGGACATGATGTTACTGCTGTCTGTACAGCAGAGGGAGAAACAGGTTTTTTGACGTTTTTCTTTAGAGATGGACCTGAGGAACTCTACCGGGTGTACACCAATAGTCACAAAGTTGAGCAGAACCTGAAACTTGATAAGGGAACTGTGAATATGTTTTGCTACTATTCCATTAATCTGGGTAGCACAGCAGAAAGATCTAGCAACAGTAATGTGATTAGTGTTGACATTGAAGGTAGGAAGGTATTTTTAAATTTTTTTGTTTATTTTTTTGTTTATTAATGGATTATTAATAGGTTTAATGGATTTGTTCATCCTGGAAGTAAGTTTAAATATGTACACATTCTGTTCCAATTTAGAGCTGGAGATCAAACCCGATATTACAGTCATGCCATCAACAGATGTCACTGAAGGAGATAACATAACCTTCAGTTGCAGTGTGAATATGACTCACCAGAGAAACTCAGAACTCAGAATCATTTTCAGCCATGGACACAATACGCTTAGTTTGAACATGACACATGAAGATTATGCTATGTTGGCTAAGGCTAATGACTCTGGAGAATATGAGTGCATTTCAAGCCTCGGTGGTGTTCATAAATCCTCCTCTTTGAACATCACTGTAAAAGGTGAGAGATATTGAATGTTTATCGATGTTATTTCATAATGTATTTCTTGTGAAATTTCACCTAAATAATGTATTAACAGAGAATTTTTGATTACTACATGATGTGTTTAGAAGCATGCAGTGACCATGAGCTGTCAGTGTGCAGAAAGGACAAAAATAGCACCATAAAATAACTATTGGTCAAAGCGACTTTGTATGTTACTGTATATTAGTCTTCAGAATAATTTTTTGTGTGAATCTGCACAATCACATCTTATATTATGCATGTTAGACCTTGTTTGCTTCCACACTTTGTTTCTTGTTTGGTCAAAAACTTATAAATAATAAGTTGAGAATAAATATATTCTCTTTTAATAATGACTTACATATTTTTGCCACAGAGATTTTCTCTATACCTTTCCTGAGCATTCATCCTGATGAGGTATTTGAAGGAGAACACTTTGACATTAGATGCCAAATCAGCAGCCTTGCCTCAAGAATTCAAAGGGAGGATATAAAGTATTCAATATTTAGAGATGAAACATTTGTAATAAAGGATAACAGATACAGTGGCACTGCAAGCAAAGCGACTAATGGGAAATACGTGTGTAAGGCTGAAGCCAATAGGATTATCAAAGAGAGCTCGATGCTGCTGTTTGGAGCAAAAGGTAGTGCCTATCAACTCTGTCTTGAAAACTAACCAAAAAATCTGATCAATATCAAAGTATTAATCAACCATTGTTTCTCTTAAGTGCTTGTTTCAAAGCCTGAGATCACAGTTGATGGTCCTGTTATCGTGGAAAAGCCATTTTGGATCCGTTGCCACTCTGAGAATGGAAGTCTGCCAATTACCTACTCTCTGAAGAGAAACAACTTAATTCTGAACTCGACCAAGGTGTCTCGCTTTCAAGAGGAGGCTCGTTTCTTAGCCTTGATATCAACTCCTTCAGACATTACTAGTTACATGTGTGAAGCAAAGAATAATGATGTCTCAATCAAGATGAGTGAAAGGCTACAGGTGACTGTAATAGGTAAGTTCATTGTAAAGATATCTGTATTTAGCGTTGATTTGTTTTCATTTCAACCCAATTTGACTCTGAAAAAAATCTGAAAAAATCATTTTTACCCAATAATTAGATAAATAACTTTAGAAATGATGGCCATTGCAATCATGCAGAAATCTGAAATTTTAGTTCTGCGTGTGCATATTCAAATGTAACTGACTATAGTTGTGTGTTATTTTTATGTGATAGTATTCATTTTAACAGTTTTTCAGGATTCTATAAGAAAAGGTTTGGTCCAGTGTGTCATAGTATACTGTAATTTCATTTATGTGGTTTAATGCAGTGGTTCTCAACAGTTTGTGTCAAAGGCATGTTTCCAACCTAATATTCAAAGGGCCCTCCATATAGGCTAAAATATTTTTTATATTTCTTCCATAATTATGACAAAACTGCTTGTTTTAAAACTAACAGGAATGTGGAGTATATGTTGATATATTAAATAATTAACCATTATTAATTTTGTGATTCCTGAAGTTTCAACAATTATTATTGTTATTGAAATTTCTTGATTTTGTCTGGGTTTTACAATTTTAATTTAGAATACAGTTAGATCATTATTATATGTTAATACTAATTTGTTAATTTAAATGCATTTAAGTCATCGTGCGGCCTCCTTGGAAGTTGGCTGATGCCCCTGGTTGAGAACCACTGATTTCATGTTATGTCACTTAGTAAAAGCAATGGCCTAGAATTAAATTTTGTTTTGCAAACATCTTTGAGTTCATTTTTCTCTTGTCTTTAGTTCCAGTAGGGAAGCCCTTACTGACAGTCCTTCCAGTTCCTGAAAACATTGAAGAGGGCAATGATGTTACCCTGATATGTGGCATTGCAAAAGGCTCTCCACCAATCAGTTTTAGGTTTTATGGCAGCGATCACACAGCAATTCACACCACAACAGTTCAGAGTAATTCATCCTCATTTGTCCTGAGTAGAGTGAAAAGAAAAAACAGTGGAAATTACTACTGCGAGGCATTTAACACGGCAGACATGTCAAGCAGGAGCGACATTGTCAAGGTCGAAGGTGAGCATTATCTTTCTTCAGCATACAGATTTGTTCTTTTGTTCATTTGTTCTTTCTGTTTCAAAGTTTCCAATAAAGTCCTAAACATTTGCTTCTTTAGGATTTTCATCAAATCAATAGTCAATTCTATAAAATGACATCAAGACTTAATACATAAATTAATACAATATTATTAGTTCTTTCCTAAATAATATAATTATTGCGTATGCAGTTTTTTTTTATTAGAATTCATTACATTGGTTCATTCTTAAAAACATAAAAAAAACGTGATTTTTTTTTTTTTGCTGAGAGTATAAAGTTAAATCTCACCAATGTTTTAGAACAACATGTTCTGTGTGCAATACCTGTGGGTTTTTTCTCCTACCTCTCCTAAAGCAACACTGCCACTCTGGTCTGTACCCGGATTTTGGCGTGTTCGCGCCGCAGGAACTAGGAACGATTTTAGTCCTATAGGAACTCCTTTTGGAGGAACTAAGTTAGCTCCTGCTTCAGAGTAGGGTCTAAACCAGCACTATAGGAACTACCAGTGACATTAGTGAACGCTGATTGGCCGAACGATCCAACGCAACTTTTGAGGGGACCAAGCCAAACATTATTATGTATTTCTGCTCAGCTAGCAACACTGGACATCAACCACAGAGCATACGCTAATGCCTTTTCATATACTGTCTTTCTATGTATATCAGTTCTATCTAATAACGTATTAGACAGGACTGTTAGACAGATCGTAAACTAATGAACAGAGAGAATGCAAGCACTGTGTGCTCAGGCTCTGGCGTTCTCAGCGTCATCAAAATAAAAGTCACAACAAGAAGCGTGGATTACGTCACTTCAGAGTTCGTACTGGCGGTGCGAATGCAACCAGGAAAATGTTACTAAGAGAACCATTAGTTTTCGGGGAACCACCTTGGTGGCTAGTTCCTAGAACTAAGTTCGAAACGGTACGAAAGCCCCTTATGTGTCATGGGTTATTTTCCAAGTCTTCTGAAGCCATGCAATATGTTTTTTTTTTTTTTTTTTTTTTTTTTTTTGTGAATAACAGACTGACATTAAAAATCATTATTCAATAAAAAATATAGCTTGACAGCCATGGACAACTTTCAATTTTATTGAATGAAAAAAAAAACAACATCTTGGTCATTTTGCTACTAAAAACCCCTTCTGCGCTCCACGGAAGAAAGAAAGTCATACAGGTTACGAAAGACATGTAGATGGTGACGAAATTTTAATGGATGACCTGTTCCTTCAAAGTAAACAAATATTTCTTTAAAATCTTAAAGGTAATAAAGAAAGTCCACATTATTTGTTGACTAGTCATTTTCTGATATGTCTCTTTATACCTGCCCTCCCTGTAGTGAGCCTGGCAATGTGGAAAAAGGCTTTGATTGCCGTGTTCTGCATGCTGTTAGTGGCGCTGCTGGTCCTTTTCATCGTGATGCGCTACAAGGCCAAGCGAGGTAGAGAGACCTACAGCCCCCCTGCATTACAAGCTGCCCACATGTCTGATATGTGAACAAAACTCCCTTTTCAACTTTTCTCTCTGTCACAGGTAAAAGAGAGATGGCTGCCAAACTATCAGTGTGAGTTGACTGGCTTATGTATAAGTTGGTCTTGAGTTGACGGCATTAGAGGGACAAGATTAGGGGGTTTTATGTTATTAGATAGTTGTTACACCATAGTTGCTGACCATGCCTGTATAAGTCATTTGGTCCCAAACAGACAAATCTGTTTTAAAGGGAATCCTAGTTTATTTTATCCATAGACGACCAAGAAAGTTAGGTAGCGGCGAATATTTTATGAATACTTTTGATTTTTCTCTCACCAATCCTCAGAAAGCCTGCAAGTCCTAAATCAGATGACTCTCTAACCCTGAGTCTCACTCATGACCCCCATTATAATGCCCACACAGGTAGTCTCTTTATATTTTTAATTTGTTTCTCAGTCATCATCATCCACTCCTTTTATTCTTTCACTCTTTTTCACTATTAGTCTATGTTGTGGTCATTCACCTTTTCAGGCCAAAACTCTTGCAACACAGACAAATCCTTCCTTGAAATATAGAACTTTATATTGAGTCCTTTTGAGGGTTTTTTTTCACCGATGTGATAGAATAACCCTTTTTTAAATTCTCCTAAGAACCTTTCAGTGAACAGTTCTTTAAATGACCAATTTTATTACTGTAAAGAACATTTTAAAATCTAAAGAACCCCTTTTCCACTATAAACATGTTTTAGTTATTTTTAACCTTTTGTAATGGAAAGGTTCCATGGAAGGTAATGGTTCTTCATGGAACCAAAGAACTTTTATTTTAAAGAGTGTGGGATGAGCGAGCTCATCTCAAGTCAGTGGTGGAAAACTGACGCTACTGTGTGGAACAGATTTAAGTTGATTCATTGTTAAACAAAGAATCAACCTCCCCCTTTCTTCCTGTTAAAGAGCAACTTCATTGTTTCAGAACATATGCTGTTCGGTGAAACATCCTTTTCATGAGTCAAGAGGACAGACCAGGAGTATTCAAGCTTTGCTATCTCTTTACATAACTTATGCGTGTGTTAATCTATGACCATTACATTTAGTTGCCAGTTTCCACTAAATGATACTGTACTAAGACACTGTGTGCGCTGGCAAACTCGCTTTCTAATTCTACACCCAGATCTACACTTTGACGACTTGACAGGCAAGGTGACCTACAGTATGGGACATGAGATCTCCACAATTAAGGGAGACAGTTTTGAAATCCAAGAGACCCTCTAGACAATATCTAAATGGTCAATTTGTCATCAAATTATGTCACTTTTTGATGCTGGCAACTAAAGTATTACAATCAACTGCCCCATCTTCTCCTTACAACAGGAGAAAAATGTTTAACTCACCTCATATCAGTTTGGCTCATCATTCATCTTAACAGAATCTGTATCATCTGTTCACCGTGTGTTTTTTCTCTGATTTAACTGCTTTGCTTATATGTGTATGTTTTTGCTTCCATCATCATGTTTGTTAATAGATGTTGTTTGTTTCATTTTACACTAAAAGTGTCTGTGTTAAGGCATTATTTACTTTATACGATTGTGTGTATGTTTAGTTGGTACATAAATTCAGATTTGGTAGGCACTTTAAATCTAATAAAATGCTTTATTTGGAATTTCCTCATTTTGAATTTCTTCCCTCTTATTGAAAGATTGTCAATGTCTGACTTTCTCCAGTCTGTCTTTTTTAACATATTTGAATGAGATATAAACTAGGTATCATTTAATATTTCTGAATTTTGATCTTTGCAAAAGATAGAGTTTTGTTTTTAAGATCCACCTCCTTTGGTTTAAAGGGATACTCCACCCAAAAATGAAAATTGTCATCATTTACTCACCCTCAAGTTGTTGCAAACCTGTATGAGTTTCTTTCTTCTGATGAACACAAAGGAAGATATTTTGAAGAATGATTGGAACTTTGGCACCATTGACTTCCATAGTATTTTTTTTTCTACTATGGAAGTCAATGCTGCCAAACAACTGTTTGGTTCCAATAGTTCTTCAAAATATCTTCCTTTGTGTTCAGCAGAAGAAAGAAACAGGTTTGCAACAACTTGAGGGTGAGTAAATGATGACAGAATTTTTTTTGGGGGGGGTGGAGTATCCCTTTAAATCACATTTTGAATGGCAACTTTGCATAGGCATTTATTTCATGTACAATTTCCTGCTTTTGTATTTGTCTGGTCTATTGCACAGTCACTAGTGTCCAGACCAAACAGTTTAGTTCCGATGCAATGTCTCTAAAAGCAGGCCAAAGGCTTCGGAAATACAGCGATTGTTGCAGTTTAACATGCTGAAAAGCGAGCTTATAGATTTGGTGAGAAATCAGGGCAAGTCTAAATTTGAACTCTGTTAAAGTGTGTGTGTGTGTGTGTGTGTGTGTGTGTGTGTGTGTGTGTGTGTGTGTGTGTGTGTGTGTGTGTCCGTGCGTTCATTCAGTCGTTCCTAACGTCTCAGGTGACTCAATTATCTAAAATCTAAAAATAACATATTTTGGTAAGGTTTTGGGATAAGAATGAATGTACTTCTACTAATTTGATTTCAGCTGAGACCGGTGGCATGTAACTGACCTTGGCTGATGCACTCTTTTTGCTGTGTTTCAGTGGAGGTGAATAACAAAGAGAGTGTTTGGAGTGAAAGACCTCCAGGTACATCACCACTCAAGTAATAATCTGAATGCCGGTTCCCATGCACTGTCCAAACTACTAGCATTTTTCTTGCAGCATATACTGTACCTGAATTCTCGAAATCTCTCAACTACTTGATTTTGTTCATTTTTTGTCTTCTTGTTCATTTTTTATACCAGATTTAGTTGATCAGGACAGCCTACAGTCACCAAATGAAGGTGTCGTGGAGTACACCGAGGTGGTTCATCCTCAACCTGTAGATCCTACACAAAGTAAGTTCAACCTTTTAAAATGATATCCATCTCTTTTTTTCTCCTCTCGCTCCTCTTGCCTTTGAAGAGGAAGATTATTTCTTGCCATACATGAGCTGATTAGAGAAAACCCACTTCCTGGGTAGGGTCTAACCATCCAAATTATCAAGGGCCCTGGATTTAATTACAGAGACATCTTATAAACAGGAAAGGCCAGACTAATTAGGTTCCTACTAACTCCAATAGCCACTTACTTATCCAGAATTACAGTTACAGTTTGCATTTGACTCTTTACACAAACATTTCTTAAAAAAATATATTGAAAGAAAAAATTAAAGCAGAAGAAAATACTACTTGTTATTATTATTATTATTTCTTTTTATTGTTTTTTTAATGCGTCTTAAACCCTCATATTATTTTGTTCTCTAGTTCCTCTGAGAAAAGGCACAGAGACTGTATATAGTGAGCTTCAGACCTCTCAAGGTACAACCAGCTAAGAGAGCACACATATACACACACAAATTACACAAAAAAAATATGTAATGCAAACAGTGGGTTGTGTTGAAATGGCTCTCTTTTTCTAATCATATTTCTGATCGTTTATACAGGGGCTCCTGAGAATATTAACCATGTAAGTTCCTTTCTTTCAATTCTCATGACCTTCTAAGCCAGTGGATCTCCCATTGTCCGCACATTTTTTCCATCCTGCTGTCTGATCTTTAAAAAAAAAAATCAGGAAGTCTCAGTGTGTTCAAACAGAAAGTATAATGTTAAAAATATGTTTATTGTTTGACAAACAGTGAACAGTGGTTTCTGTTGTTTTCAAATGACTCAAAATCAAACATTACTTAAACAAGTGTGCAAACCAACAACATTTATGGTCAAAGGGCAATCCGGGACTTCCTAACACATTCATTTTATAAGTAATATCTTACATGTGTCATGCAGTAGCATGCTGACCACTAAATGTGATCTTAGTTTTCTTCAGTATCCTAATGTCATGTGGGAGGATGTAACATACTCACATAGAGGACTGAATGTGTGTGTTTTGTAAACTCTGTCTACAGTATAAGTGAAGAGGGAAGCACCAGTCAGACTTTCCAGATAGGAACAAATAGCAGGGCTGTGGTTTCCTCTTGAACAGAGGGCCAGAATTTACAGAGAGTGGGCACACACACACACACACACACACACACACACACACACACACACACACACACACACACACACACACACACACACACACACACACACACACACACACACACACACACACACACACACACACACACACACACAGTGACCTCATAAACTCTGTGAAAGGCAAGAGAAAAGAAGACAAAGTACATCTAAACTGTTAGTTAAACTGACATCAACCAAAATGTCCTTGTTTTATTATTATTATTATTATTAAATTCCAAACTAATGATTATTATTTTTCACCTCTTCTTATGTGTGCATCTCTGGTAGACTGTGGTTTACCAGCAGAGTTAAGCATGTAAAGGGTGACAAGTGAGAAATGTATCTTTTTGAGGATGTTACTAACATGAACAAACATCAATGTTCATTTGATCTGATTTCTGAAAGTGATTACATACATCTCATTCATCAATTTTGTGCTTATGTTTTTGTAGCAAAGCCTGTTAGAATATGCTGAACTCAACCATGATCTTCCTGAACCAGTGGACTAGCAGAAGTCAGTCACCTCAAGCATCCCTCACATCACTCTGGAATACTGTTGCCTGTGTTCCATCAATCCCTTCTATCCTTCAACATTATTCTCCTAAAAACACTAATTTAATCGTGTATCTTCCTTTCATCTAATGTGTTTGATTGTTTGTCCTGTTTTTTTTACAATGCTGTACTGTGGATATAGTCGGTACTAAAACCTTGCTTTTCACAAGGTTGTTTTGAGTTATCACATTTTTTATAAAGTAAAATTATTTGTTTGAATTTCTCTGTGTGATAAATATCTTCTTACTTTAATGCCTTTAATACAAGTAAATTGTCTCTAATAAGTTCTGGATCAGTTCTCTTGCACCCTGTGTCACACACTAAATTGGATGATGTGACTCAAACTGCTCCAGCAGTTAGTTGGTAATCGCCTCGCATGAGAGATGTAGATAAAGTCATGCTTTCATCTCTGGGCAAAATGCTTTTATCAGTTGACATAAATAATGTCACTTTTAGCTTGTGCTAAAGGAAATCAAAACAATTTCCTTTCAGGTTTTCCACTGGGAAAAGATGATAAAGGCTAGTGAATACCAGTTACACCCACATCACTTAGCTCATCCAGGCTGACATCACTATAGTGAGCTCAATAAATTTTGGTACTATTGGTAAATGAGCAAAACACAACATGGTGGATGTACTTTGATCTTAACACCTTTAACCTTATTATTTATTATTTAGGTTAGGTAAAGTAAGTCGAGTCTGGCTTAAATTTTAAGCATTTTAAATGACTTACAAGACTTCTCTGGTATGTTCTTATTCAAAGTCTTAAAACATTATAAACCAAAGCCTCGGTAGCCTCGGTATCGTTTTTGGTACCTCAGGTGTTTCTATTACTCCCGATGGTGACCTGGGAGATTTGGCCCCCTATGTAAAACACTCAGTGACAAACTTGGGTGTTATTTTTGATTCTGCTCTTAAATTTGACAAACAGATAAATGCCGTAGTTAAATCTAGTTTCTTCCAATTAAGACTATTATCTAAGGCTAAGAGTTTTTTAACATTTGCAGAGTTTGAGAGAGTGATTCATTTGTTCATTTCATCTAGACTTGACTATTGTAATTCTCTTTATATTGGAATGAGTCAATCCAATATTAGGCGTCTTCAGATGGTTCAGAATGCAGCAGCCAGACTTTTGACTGGCACAATGAAGTTTGATCATGTTACCCCAATACTGCGTTCGTTGCACTGGCTGCCAGTTTGTTATAGAGTTGATTTTAAAATTCTGCTTTTTGTTTTTAAAGCCATAAACAAATTAGCTCCAAACTATCTCTCTGATCTTTTGAAATTAAACGACTGTGCTAGATCATTGAGGTCATCTCAACAAAGATTGTTGATGGTTTCAAGATCAAGACTGAAGACGAGAGGTGACCGTGCGTTGTTGGTCTTCCTGTATCTTTAAGACTAATATCCACAGAGTCTGTTTTTAAATCTAAGTTAAAAACCTACCTGTTTTCACTGGCTTACAATTGTCCTTGATTTTAATGTTGAATTGTCAAATTGGTGTTTCTGATGTAAACTCCCTTTATCATTTGCTTTGCGGTCTTTCTTGTTTTTAAGATATTTATTCTGTTGTACAGCATAATGGCCAACTACTGTTGCTTTTATTGTGCTATATAAATAAAAGGTGATTGATTGATTGATTGATTGATTGATTGATTGATTGATTGATTGATTGATTGATAGGCAGTTTTTGTAATCAATTAAATTTATTTTAATCGGATACTTTTCTTTTTATAATAAACAAAAATGTAAAGGAAAATAAAACTTCATCATTAAAATATAAAATACAATAATCACGCTTTGAATCAAAGGTGCAGTCAGCTCTGGGCTTTGTGTCTTCAGCTTGGGGTTTCTTGTCCTCAGCATCCAGGGTACTGGTGTATCCGTAACCAAAGAGTCAATCAAATCAAGTCTTTTATACTCCTGTTGTTTGCCGCCGAAGTTAGAATCTAATCTTCCTGATTGACGTACGTTGTAACTTTCCCAAAGTTTCCAAGATCCTTCTCAAGGCCTTGTACATTTACATTTAATCAAGCAGACGCATTTATCCAA